TTTGTTTTGTGTGTGTGTGTGTGTGTGTGTGTGCACATATGACTGTCACTCCTTCGGTGACAGACTGATGTAATAGGTTTTGTGTTCTTCCTAAACCCCAGAATAATTTATCAGCACTGTATAAACAAATCAAATGTGCTTCAGAGTCTTACTTGCAGTCTTGTTGCTGACCTCAAATTTCTAACACTAAGAGATTAGGGAGAACAGTCACCTGTCCTTTTGGCATCACTCCCTCACTGGCCAAACCAATGAGGTGTTGCCCCATCTTTGCTCCTTCCATGGCAATCAAGATTTTGCAGTGTTTCAGCCAGTGAGGGAGCAATGCCTTTTGGAGCAGATGTGGTTTCTTTATCGATCATGTTGCTGGCGAGTTGCTGTCAAAGGCAGAATTGCTAATGTGCCATGGACCTATATATGGAATTAAAAACGATATGTACCTCAATGGCAGTGGTGTAAAAGAATTGTGTAGCCATATTTTTTTGGGCTTAAAACTAGTTTCGATATATTGAGTTTAAACATATTATATTAATTGTAGATCTAGCTTTGTGTTTTCTGTTTATTTTCAGTACTAGTACACCCATCCATGGCCTGAAATGAAGAGCAGATTGTGATGACTGGTATATCGGAGGACCTGGTTACATTCAGAGACTGAAGACATGAAGAATGCACAGCCTGTTGCATTGAATAGCTGATTTTCCCAGTCCGTGTCATTGCGTTTAAACATCATTTATCACAGCAGTCGGGCACATGCAGATCTTAGGTGGAGGTTACCACCATGTCTGTTAGTGCAACAGAAGGTGACATCCCAAGGTTCTTTGTGGGATGTGAGGAATCAGATGAGGTGCTGGACCAAGGCAAAGCGGAAAATGAAGACCACATCTACGACAACATTGATGACGAGGAGGATGATGATGATGATGAAGAATATGACTCTGTATGTATCAAACAATGAAATACTCAGATGTATTCTACTGTTTTTGTTTATTTGTCCTTATCCATACAAAAAGGAAGTTGTGTCCATGGTGACAAATGTAAAATAGTAGAATTTTCTGGTGTCTCTCCATTGCAGTCCATTGTTCTGGGTTGAATGAAAGCATTCCAGTATTGAAGCAATTAATAATACTCGGCTTGTCTTCATCCTCCCTTTTGCTTTCTTTGTAGCCCCCAGAGAGACAGATTGTGGTGGGAATCTGCGCTATGGCTAAAAAGTCCAAATCTAAACCCATGAAAGAAATCCTGGAGCGCCTCTCGCTGTTCAAATACATCACTGTCGTTACATTCGAAGAAGACGTCATTCTGAATGAATGTGTGGAAAACTGGCCACTGTGTGATTGCCTCATTTCCTTCCACTCCAAAGGTACAGTTCTCATCCCATATAATAACTCCTAGCTGTGGGTAGCGTGGGCATTTCTGGAACAATCACCTTCTCTCAGACACAGAACAGATAGACTAGCTGCAGTTTACATGGTTAATCCCGTCTGCAGTTGCTGAGTTGTCTGCTTAGGACAGGTAAATGTCTGCAGTTATCACACTTGTTAATCTGCACGTAAAATGTGCTGCCCACACAGTGACTCAATCCCATTTAATCTTTCCAGTGGCTAATCAGAATGCTTTTCAAATGCTGGCACCTCTCATTTCAGCAATGTTACTCTCTGGATTTTTAATAAAGACCTTGAACTTTAAAGTTTAAATGTGACCCTGTCTCATACCATTCATTTCAACAGCAATCTTTCCATTTAATGTATTTTAGACTTGTCATTTACCTGTAAAAGCCTCCATTGTGCAGGCATTGAAAAGCCCTTGGACTGCTGAGGGATGCTGTTATCTTTTGATGTGATGTCAGCAGGCCCAGCACACTCCCACTATCACTCAAGTGACTCTATAGTATTCCCCTTTACTCCTATCTCGTCAGCTACATAAAATTTTATGTAGGGAGGTGTAGGCAGGGGGCAGAGGAGCCAGGCCAGCACAGAAAGTACTTAAAGGAGAACTATGAGGTAAGTGATTTCTGCTCATCCTCATAGTTAGAGCCGACCTGTGACAAAGAAGCTGTAATTTTTCCGAAATATAGTAAAAAATAAAACCCGTAGTGGTGATTAAATACCACCAAAAGAAAGCTCTATCTGTCCCCCAAAAATGGTATAAAATTCATTTCAGTACAGCGTTGTATGACGGAATAAACGTCAGTCAAAGTACCGCAGCGATGAGTACCGAAAAATGGCCTGGCCAGGAAGGGGGTCTAAACACCTGGTCAGCAAGTGGTTAAAGGAGACCTATGGGGTAAGTGTTTTTCCCCATAGTTCCCCTCAGGGTCACGGGAGGGCGTAAACTAGCATCCTCCCATGACTCAAAGCTCAGTATATCGCGAGCTAAAGGCAGTCTGGCTTGAAGCAGGGGAAGCGGAGAGCCCATGGTGCCCCCTGGGAGTGGTGACCATAGGGTGGTGGATAATCTCTTTGGGTTTGGGACCCCACTGTGTTCACTTGCAATTTGGTAACAGCAGCTCGCTTTTAGGGCTACACGTTCTGGCTAAGCTGGGAAGCATCATTATGTTTTTTTGCCAGAAGGCCTGGCCATCTGCTAATTTGTTTTACAAAAATGTGCAATAAAGGCAGCAGTAAAAAGCTATGGAGGATTCTAGGCCTTGCCTGCTCTAGGTCTTAGTGTTAATATTGCCATTGTGTCCTTGTTCTGTTCGCCTCATATGTCCTTAGCAGTATTGTTAACTATATGCTATTGTCCACTGTATGCTGACAGTGCAGCACAGTATTGTTGGGATCCACCCCGCCACCTGTGCCCGCCCCCTCTCCTGCCCATCCCTCCACTCAGCGCTGGAGGATCGGGGAGGGGGGAATCCCTTAGGGGAGAGGTGACTGACAGTCACCGCTCTGCAGGATGAAGATCGGGAACTGAGCGATGGGCGGTATGTGATCGTTCAGATCTCGATCTAAAGAGCTGACGTGTGACAGCTGCAGTCTCACATGTGGGCTCTAATTATAGGGATGAGTGTAATTCACTCATCATATTCTCCTTTAAAAAGTTTAGTGTCACTTTAAAAATCACAGCCTGTGCCTAACTTTTGAGTATTTTTGTAGTTGTTGTCAATGGAGCAGGCTCCTACAAAAACAAATCCTGCTGCCTCCTGGATTGGACAGACCGGCTCCTGAATTCCATATTCGTTTATTCACCCCTGGTCTACAGCTAGGAACACTGACACCATCTAGGATTACCTGTGCTTCACCACAGCCAGCAGCTACATATCTTAGTTCTCCAGATAGCAAAGTGAAACATATTTTGGTTTTATGAGCAGCACAGACTGTTTGGGCTTCATGTAAGCATCCAAAAAAAGAATTATCAGAAGGTATTTTACAACATACAGTGCAGCATGTGTCCTTTATGGTCTGTAACGTAACATAACATATGTATGAAAATGTATTCATTTTTGTAACTTTACAAAAAAAAGTTTCTCCTTTCCTTTTGCAGAGTAGGCAAACAATGGTCCAGGTGGAGTATTTTGGGGCCTTATTTATTACTGTTGCTGTATTATGCAGCCTGCAGAATAGCGTGCTACATGGCAGCTAGTCATTTGACATCATTTACCCAAGAGTATACTTCTTGGTATTATGCATGTATTCGCAGATGTGCGGTATGAATAGATAATGATGCTCATGGCAATAAAAAAGCCTAATTGCATATTTACTAGGCTGAATCGTTACAAATTTAGCTGTAATATACCATTCACTGATTTAAGTCATTGCAAAGTTCATCTTTTGCAGAGAAGTTAGATGTGGATGTTACATTTTTATTTTCACAATTCTTTTTCTATTGCCACTTAAAGTGCACCAATATGCGTTCTAGCATGTTTTTCCTAATGGGGGTTCCCAGTTTATATCTAACTCTTATCTCCTTGTAGTAATAGACAAAGCAGCTAGCCCCTTTCTAACCAGCAGTAGATCTCTTCTTTTTGATTTGAGGGCCTTATTTAAAGCCTAACTGCAGAGTTTGTGTTCCTGGTTGTTTATGTGACGCTGCAAATTCTCTTAGCCTTAATGTAATGTTAGCACCACAATCTTCCTCATACTTTACTGGGAGACCTTTTTAAATAACAATTTAGCCTGTAATTTGATTTTAAGTTTAACTAGTTAGGAGTGGTGGGAGGGAGTCTGAGCACCCCCGCTGCCTGCAGACACCTACAGCAGGTATCTAAAAGTACCTGCATGGATGGTCATGTAGCTTATAGCTGCTGATTGAGAACTCTGCTCCACCCACTTCGGTCAATAGCTAAGATGGACAGATTCATTGACTAATAGGTGATGAAAACAGTATGCCTGAGGTCTCAACCATCAGGGAATGGTTGATTTTGTATAACAAAGTGCCCTGGTTTTTGATGCACATAAGTTATGTTTCCATTCTTAGAGACACCTCTAGGTTCCCTGCTGTACATGTCTGGCTAAGATATAGAATGTTAAAAGTGAACACTGGCTCACTTTAAATCTTGTTGTGATGTAAGAATTACTGTACCTGGGAATTATGTCATAAATTTTAACAAGACCTTTGCAGTGGTTGCCATTGGTTCCAGTTCAATGGAAATCACTTTCAGTTCTTTGAGGTTTTCTCAATGCTTTGGTTTTCATTCTGTTTTTTAAATGTACTCTCTTATTTAAGGTTTTCCCTTGGATAAAGCAGTTGACTATGCAAAACTCAGGAATCCATTTGTTATCAATGACTTGAATCTACAGTATCAAATTCAAGACCGGTAAGATCATATTATTCATATGTACTTTACAAGACTACTCCTTTTGGTGGCGCTGCAGGGCTTTATCCACTATGGCTTCCACTGCTATCCAGGAGCCCGGTTAGGTGATCCCTTCTCCTGCAGGTCATCTTCATGCTGTGAGTCTCACGGTTAGTTGGACTGATCTATGGCCTCAGCCTTCTCCATAGAGAGGAACATTTGATTGGCCATCCTATGTTCCAAGAAGGGAACATTTGATTGGCCATCCTAGGTTTTCCCAACTACTGAGTGTTGTGCTGGTGCTTTGCATCTTGGAACACTGCACAAATAGCCGACTGTACATCTTTATATGTTTGTTATTCAGTTGTTGGATCATCTGACCAATGTGCTTGCCCACAAACCTACTGTAATTTAAAAAAAAAAAAGCTGGAATGTAATAATAGTGGCTGCTTCTTGGTGCTCAGCTGGGAGAAAAAATGAATATCTATCTACTAATCTTTCATTTTATTTGGACAGAAAGGATTGATGTTCCGTTAGTGTAAGTTTGCTCTGATTTAAGAAGTGGGGACAAGTGCCCTGTAATTACTATCTGCGTGTCTGCAGGCTGTGAGCACCTTCTAATTACTGCTGACCTCTTTGTACAACATTGCTCATGCCACATTTTGATATTAAAGTAGAACTATGGAGTCAGTGTTTTTCCCCATAGTTCTTCTTAGGGTAACGGGAGGACACAAACTAGCGTCCTCCCGTTACCCTAAGCTCAGTATACCATGAGTATACTGAGACGCCGGAGCGGATCCCGACTTAGATGACGGGATCCGCCCAGCTGCGTGAGTGACAGCTGGCTCTGCCTATCTAGAGGCAGAGCCAGCTGTACCCGCCCCCTTCCCCGTCCGTTCCGCCAGTCAGCGCTGGCAGATCGGAGAGGGGAATCCAGCCCCTCCCCCTGTCATGGCAGAGAGCCGTGACAGGATCGAGAGGCGAGCGAACCCGGTATGTGTTCGCTCACCTCCCGATCTACTGAGCCGACCTGTGACAGTCTCATTGTCACAGCTCGACTAGAACTATGAGGTGAGTGGAGATCACTTATCTCATAGTTCTCCTTTAATGACAATCTGTGTGCTCCATTTTTTTTTTCTTTCATTTGGTTTATACAAGAATACTCTTAGCCAATCTGCAATAACCAACAGTAGCTTACTTGAGTTACTCCATTTTACAATAAGACTAATAAGTACGTTTTTTTGAAAGTGTTTTTAGTTTGTGTAAAGGGGCTGTTTTACTTTACAAGCACATATAAATTTAATGCAGTGCTTCCCCTTTACTTTTTCTCCCACAGGAGAGAGGTTTATAGAATTCTTAAAGATGAGGGGATCTTGCTACCTCGATATGCTGTCCTAAACCGTGATCCAAACAAACCTGATGGTAAGTCAACTCATTCATTTTGCTCTACCTTGGCCTGCACATCAATGCCACTGTATGGGAGAACAACTGGGGGAGCCCAGCCAAGTATACTAGACAGATGTTCTGTCCATTAGAGTAAACTTGTATTGGGACCACAATGGATCAAACTTCTGACAAACCCCAGTGGTAACATAATAGCCGAGATGTGAGTTAGTTGCAACCTATGCTCATTGAATTGAGGTAGATGAAGCAAGAATTTAGTGATACTTGCACGGCAAAAGTTAAAGGTTACGAAGCAGAGCTCTGCTTGATTTTGTTTTTACAGTATGAAAAAAAGCTGTGTCCTATAACTTGTAGCAAAATATCTCATTCTTGATTCTTTGTATCGTCAGTTGTGGAAATTATTCATGAATGGCTCACAAATTACACTCCAGCATGATGAATAGCGATGTACTACAAAGATAATCAGCATCTCTACATGTTTTTTTTTTAAACTGATATTATAGGCTAGCTGGTCATAGTGGCATATACAGCAGTTGCATACACGGGCATGGTTAAAGCTGCAGACACTGGCAGGGTATAACAGCCGTACTAATACTGAAGTTCCACCATTGTCAGTTGGATGATTGTTGCCAGTCACTGGCAGCAGATATTCTAGGAAAAATCTGTATGATTGACAACTGTGATGAATTATCGAAGCATCAAGGCAATTCTATTTTTAACATTATCCCTGCTCACACTATCTTGCTTGTTAACAGAGGTCAGCAGCCTAGAAGCTTAGAACAATTAAAGCTGATCATCATACATGGTCCGAATTTACCCTTAAACTACCTTTTCCCCGTCACGCTCCAGCATTATTTTTTACTTTGTTCTCGTAGTGAGAAACCCATGTTATCACTCTCTGTGACACTATCACCAAGCTTGTAAAATTCTTGCAGAGACCTCTGCTGAGAGCTTGATTCTTATTGACACTGGTAAGCCCCCCCAGAACTACAGCTCCCAAGAGCCTTTTCCCAATGCACAGTGTGTGAGCAGGCCTTGGATATGTGTGAGTACTGGCATTGATATACTGAGTGAGCAAGTGGGGTCTTTAAGGTACAGGTGGGCTTTGTAGTGCTGTGGCCTGTGGGTTCTCACTGCATGCAGGATAAATTGTCCTAGCAAACTTACATAATAGGCGCCAACAGTGCAGGAGATGGCCAACAATGTGGAGGCACCCACCCCAGCTGCTTCCCCCTGCAGCACGGTGCCAAAGGCAGGTACTGCTACTGCTTGGTTATCAGCCCACTCAAGAAGTCACTGCAGGATCAGCAGGTAGTTTTCTGTAAATGCATTTTTTTTAAGCAATGAAACATGGGGTAAAAGTGAATGTATTGCAGAGATGTACTGCATTTTTCCACAGGTACATTTTATTAAGAATAATGCCACTGTGGCTCCTTTGAACCCACAATGTACTGCTAAGAAATCCAGAAGCACCACAGATTTGCATAGTGCATGAACCCTGCATACAGCCAAGAGCACATTTTAGAGCAGTGGTTCTCAACCCGTGTAACCTCGGGACCCACATGTTTCCTTGGTCATTAAGGCGTGACCCAAAAATTATTTCATTTCTGAAACATTTAAATTTATAGAATGTCCCCATAGGCCACATTTACTGTGCTGCCTCTGTTACCACATATCTCCATGTACAGTGCAACTAAGATGCAGTTAAGCCGTTAGTGGTTGTTTTTTTTGCAGATGTGCAAAAAAATGAAGGGCTACTCTGTCCTCCCTTTAGAATTTGCATTTCAGTCTCAGATCTGAAAGGCCTACTTACAAATGTATGTACTTATAATGTATGCATATAATTATATACAGCTAAAGTGCGTGGGGAGAAAAGTATGGCATAATATTTTGTTGACTTGAAATCCTACAACTGAAAAGTACAAAGGTTTATGATATGTAGAATTTTGAATTGATCCTGTGTTCTTCCCTTAAAGGATATTTGAACCCTCCAGGGGTTTTTGCATAAATCTACTGCTAGCAAGCATTAGATATATGCAAAAACATTAAAAAAAAAAAAGTTACCAAAAAAGGTTTAACCTGTTGCCGTCCGCCCGTTGCAAAAAACGGACGGACGGCGGACTCGCATTTGCGGGTTGCCGTCTCCAGACGGCATTTTTTTTCTGCCCCTAGCGCGCTTGGGCAGAAAAAGCCCGTTCAGTGCAAAGAGCCGTTACCGGCTGTTTTACATACACACGATCGGCGGCTCTATAGCCTACCGATCGCGTGTATGTGCTGGCTCCGTGATCCCCCTTTGAGATCCACCGCCGCCCCCCCTCCTAACCCCTCACCTTCAATCCCGGGATCCGCTGCCCCATCTGCGGCCCGGGACCGGCTCGGGTGGGAGGTCAGCATCTTCCTCCTTGCTGACCTCCCACCGGGCTGTGAATGCAGAAGTGATGTGTGTTACATCACTTCCGCATTCACCTGTCAGTCATCATTAGCCAGAGAGAAGAAGCTGATGAAGCAGATCTCTGCTTCATCAGCTTCTTTTGCGGTCCCCAGGTGACAGGGGTCTTGGAGATCGCTAATGTCTCCATAAAGAGGACCAGTCAGTGTGCCTTTGCACAGCATGCGAAAATTACAATTGCGCCTCACATGTTACATATGGTCACGAACGTCGGAGTGAGAGCAATCATTGTAGGGCCATCAATCACTGATAACACTAAACTGATGAGCGGTAAAAGCTTTTAAAGCGTTGCCTATGGCCAATTTAGGGTATTTTAGTTTTTTGAGGTTTCGCGCGCACAATTTTAAGACTTGACATGTTGGTGTATTTTTACCCGACATGACCCTGTCTTTTATATTTTACCAAAAAATTGGGTAATAAATGCTTTATCATTTAATATAGGGGAAACTGTTTTTTTTTGTAAAAAATTCTGTACTTTTCCCGTAAATATAGTTAAAAAAAAAACCCCAGTGGTGATTAAATACCACCAAAAGAAAGCTCTATCTGTTCCCAAACAAGTGGTATAAAATTTATTTCAGTGCAGCGTTGCATGACAGAATAACAGTCAATCAAAGTACTGCAGCGCTGAACACTGAAAAATGGCCTGGATGGGAAGGGGGTTTAAAACCGCGGACTTGAAGTGGTTAAACTTACCTGTGTCTCCGCCACACTTTTTGGGCCCAGTCTGGTCTGGAGATGATCTGGCCGTGGTGTGATTGGGCCCTTAAACTCAGAATTACACAATTCTGAATAAGCTATGTTTTAGATGATGTTTTTTCTAAATTAATAAACAAGTCTTAAACCAGGGGTGTCAAACTCAATTTAATTGTGGGCCGCATCAACATTATGGTTGCCCTCAAAGGGTCTGTAAGACTATATACGGTAGATGTATCTAATCTTTATCATAATTGCCTCTGCATTCGATTTATCACTGGTTTTAGTAATAACTTAATACCTAGATCTGAAAGTAGTAGTCTAGGAAATGGCCTGGTGGGCAGGATTCGGCCCTTGGGCCTTGAGTTTGACACATGTGTCTTAAACCATATTTGTTATACAGTCTTCCATAGAATTTTTTAACCTTCATGCTAGAGTTAGGATTGTGACTTTACATGTCAACTCTTCCTGTCATTCATCTAGCGCAAGGGTCTCAAACCTCTGGCCCTCCAGCTGTGGTGGAACTACAAATCCCATGAGGCATTGCAAGATTCTCACTGCCACAGACATGACTCCTGAAGAGAGATGCATCATGGGATTTGTAGTTTCAGCACAGCTGGAGGGCCGGAGGTTTGAGACCCCTGCGGGTAACAAGGCATACCTGATTTTGAGGTCTTTCTGCATCCTTTTCTACAAGATTGCTGGTCGATGTATACCGCTCTTTTAGTCTGCAATCTCAAAATAACCTAAAAGGCATATTTTTTTTATATGTTTATCAAATCAAACAATGAAAAGAGATTGCAAAAACAGAGAAATTATTATGTAGATGTATTATATTTGGCTCCCAATGTTTGTAGTAATTCGGCGGCTTACAAAAGAAATGGATCCCACAAACAGCGGGGCTTTCTCTTAGACTTATTACCAGACTTGGGTACAGTTATGTGCAATGTAAATAAAAAAATAAAAAAAAAGAATTTTGCTAGCACATGATTGGTTGATTAAATTCAACACAAGCTAATTGTATTTACAAAATACTGTCGAACATTCGCTTTTCTAAGTGAACAGTCTCTGTTCTTTAAGTAAATTTGGCCTTATGAATTTTTCTGATATGCCAAATCTACTACTTATCCATTAACAATGATTTGCGCTTAGGCCTCATTCACACTGCCGCACACACATGCGCGTATATGCGTATACCCGCGTATTGTCCCATAGGCAACATATGCAAATAAATGGCTCCATAGACATAGCTGCGTATGTAGCCGTATATTTGCATAGTGTAAACAGAATGTAAACAGAATGTAAACATGCGCAAAAACAGAATGGAACCGAGATGCGCCCGGGCAGCGTATTTCTGCGTGTTTACGTGCATATACGCGCGTACATGGGTACAGCACATTAAAAATTCCATTAAGAGTGATGCATTCTGGGATTGCATATATGCGCGTATATACGCAATATCCTATTTTGCTCTTGCGTTGTGTGTGAAATGAGGCTTAAGGACATTTCTAAAACTTCTGCATTAAGAAACCCAGTCAGTTTGCAGTCGTTGACAGCAAAGTCACTGCTTATGACTGAATGTCACAAGCAGATGAAGGTTAGGAATATACTGTTACTCAATATTTCACCTCTATTTTCTATATAGATTAATAATATATAGAGAAGTCATTAATTGCAGCCACCATTTTCCCTGAGAGTAGCCACCGTTTCCTTAAGAGTAAAGATAAACACATAGAGATTGACTAGTTTATGCAGTTGGAGTTTCATTTGGTCTGTCACTTCTGAAAAGGAGTAGAAGTCGGAACATAGAAGGCAATGCTACTGGAATGTATCATGATTATATTTCACATGACAAAGGTTTCTGATGTTTTAGCAT